GAGATAGACACAATGCCCCTTGGAGCCTCCACTATAACCTTTACTGCCCCTACAGTATCAGGGCTAATGACTCCGGGAAAGACATGAAGACCTTGTAAGATAGAGGATGCATGTCCAATTAGCAAACCTACAGTGCCAGGTGGTAAAGGCCCTTTGAACTCAGTTTCCACCAATTGGACTCCCATCTTAGGTGTTAATATGAGTCTGGAGGTGGAACAGAGGTCCAATCCCGCGGCACCTGTAGTGGCTCTCCGCGTCTCATGGGATGGCGTAGAGATGGCCATGTCTCGGGTTCGGGTGTGACATTCTCCACTGCCCCATATATTTGTGGGCCCTGAGGTCGGGGGCCCCTTCGGCCGTTTTTTGGCCCAGCTGAAATAGGCTGTCCATGGATGTCCCTCACTGATCTACACTCTTTTGCCCAATGTTTCCCCTTTTTACATTTTGGACATAGCCCCGGTTGACGAAGGCCATTGGAAGGGCCACCGTGAGGAGGTCCAGTAAAATTGTCTTTTTTGGGACATTCACGTCTGAAATGACTGGGTTGACCACAATGGAAGCATGTTCTGGCACCAGGATTGCCCCCTTTTGCAATCCGAAGGACAGCAGCTGCAAGACCTGCGTTAGTTAAAGGTACTCCAATCTCTCTACACACTTTCATCCATGCTTCTATGCCCTTATTTTTATAAGGAGTGATTGCCGCTTTACATTCCTTGGTGCATTGCTCAAAGACCAATTGCTTGATAAGGGGCATGGCTCTATCAGGATCCCCAAAAATCTTCCCAGCGGCATCCACCATCCTTGCTACAAAATCTGAAAAGGGTTCTGTAGGGCCTTGTAGAATCTTGGTCAAATTACCAGACACCTCTCCTCTATTTGGAAGCGACTTCCATGCCCGAATGCAAATGTTGTTAATTTGATCATATGCCTCAAGAGGAAATCCTGTCTGTTGATTTGCAAATCTACCCTGCCCCAAAAGCATATCCTTGTCCCAATGGGGGTGTCCCGCCGCATGGTTTTGGGCGGCCTGCTCTATTGCACCCTCTAGCACAAATGCTCTCCAGTCCAAATATTTACCGGGGGAAACACAAGCCCGAACAAGGCTAGCCCAATCAGAGGGAGTCATGCAGTATCTAGACAGACTCTCCACCTGAGTTAGTGTGAAGGCGGCATCTACCCCATAAGTGCGCACAGACTCCGTCAGGGTCTTCACAATTTTAAAATCTAAGGGTTCATGGAATCTTCCCCTATTGTCATCCTGAAAAACTGGATAAGTAAGAGCCATCTCAGCGTTAACAGCCCTCCATGTTTGGGCATGGAAAGCTCTCCCTGAAACACCCCCACCATACGGCGGTGGATCCAGGGTATCGCTTTTCTTGAGCCCCTGTTTATTTCTGTTCCCTTCTCCTATAGCTAAACTCTCTAGCTGACGAGACAGCCTCCCGAGCTCTTCCTCCTCATCCTCCTCTTCCTCTGACCCACTTTCACATGGGGGTGTGCGCAGCGTACTGAGATCTGGATACAATTGTCTCCTCCCCTGTTTTACGCTCTGCACACTCCCATCCTTCTGAGATACCTCACTTCTTGCCATCTCCTATTTCTCCTCATGTAATTGCTCTAGAACTTCCTGTCCTTTAGTAAGTGCTTCCTGACATCTGCCATCTGTAAGGCAACTACGGACCATTTTCCAAAGGGGTATCACCCCACCCTCTAATATGCCCTGCTCAGAAGCAAAGTCAAGATCTTTGCCTAATTCATCCCAACTAGGTACAGTAAGGCTGCCCGAAAATGCAAACCACGGTGCAGCGATATCTATCTTCTGTAAAAATCTCTGTAAAGTACTATGTTTCACTTCCAGGCCCTTGGAACGTAACAGGCCATCTAGGGCCAGGAGAAGCGGACTTGAAGATGCGGCACCCATGACACAACAACAAAAGAAGCACAAAAATCTAAAGCGAAATGACACAACAAAAGAAACACAGAAAACAAAAGCGAAAGTAGAAGCGAAAGTACACAGTGCAGCTGCAATAAAATGTAATGCTCTCTCTTTCTTTACAGAGGACCTGCCCCGCTTTGATCGCGGATCCCACTTATTGGGACTAACCCCGCTTTGGTCGCGGATCCCACGTACCTGGGACTAACCGGTGCACCACCCCTGACTGCTGAAAGTTCTGGTTCCCAGGTCTCGGCACCACTTGTCGCGACCCCTTGCCCGCAAGGAAGACGCAACTCAGGAATCTTCTTTCAGCAGTTTATTCAGGCCCTTGATATTACTTCTTCTCTCTCTCAGATGCCCCTCCCAGCCTTAAAAAAGCATCTCAAGCCCCAATGCGAAGCTGCCACGTGGAGCTTTCTCATAGGGTGGTGAAAAACCACGCGCCAACTCTCCCAAATAAGGAGTTGTTTGTCACAGACCACAGCGGAGCCAGCGCCATCTTGTAATGGTGACCATAGTCTGCAGAAACGGCAGAAGCGGCTCACCACTCAGTTTGAAGGTATTTAAACTTGAAGCAAATAGCATTATATGTATTCTTCTGCAGCTTGTCTTTTCAAACCCCGGTAAATCAGAATGATGATACATAAGGTCACTGTGTTTATTAATAATTTCTGGAATATATGAAAAGAAAATGTCTCTTTTAAGTCCCATATCTTTTAAAGCTCCTACCAAATTCTACTGTTAATCATTCTGAAGGGGTGGAATGATAATACTGGTGCTACTGGAACGATTTGAGGATTGGAGGTGATAACAACATTGGGGTGCTGGCCCAATGCTGCATTGTAACTGTAAGTGGTATACACAAGGAAAGAGTTCATGGAGTAAGATATCTGCTCACTTTAGCCTTTGATAATAAATAGTTAATAGCTGTTTTTTTTTTCTCTTCACAAGGAGATAAACTAGAGATTAATTCACTCTGTGAATTAAGAGGAAACATCAGGCATTTTTAAATAGCTGTAATTAAATATCCCCACCAGAGCAGGATGCACTTCTTGCCTTGCAGACCTGAGGACCACTGTAGTATGCAGCAGACCACCTTGAATTCTCCCATAAAGATTTTTTTAAAATGAATCTTAGTGTATTTCCTACGAAGGGTATAATGTTTGGCTGTTTTCCATTTGTTCTGCAGGAAATTCTTGCTTGAGAAAATGAGAAAAATTTGAGGTCATCTTTATTAAGAAGGATTGCACATACTCTATGTAGAGGCTAGGGCACATATTCAGCTTCAAGTATCACATGTGCCTTTCCTTCAACTGATTTCTCAAAAGTTAGCTACCATGATTGTTATGCTAGAATATGCAGAACATATGAACCCTAGAAATGTGAAACCATTTAATACAAATAAATCATGTCTGCATGCTTTCCCATCACTTTCTCATTATCTTTTATCCTGGGATTTTGTATACAGTTTTTACTAGCCTTCGTTTATCAGAGTCTGGATGCCACACATGCTTCTGAAATGAATAGTCTCTATAGGCCTAAAAGTTCATATAACACATTAACTGTCCCAGGAAGAAGAAAAATGAAGAAACCACTCAGAAAAACGGTAACTAGTCTGTGGCTGTGTCTGAGGTAAAGATATTACAGGGTTTTGCTCCAGACCAAAAATTCACTAAATTTATCAATACATAATAAGTTAGACAAAGAATACTTTACCTAATAAATGTTTTTAAAGCTATCATTTCCCATTATTAAATTGTGTGTGTGTGTGTGTGTAAAATAATATTTTCTGGCAATTAGTCAGAAACCTGTGAGTTTTTAAAGTTCCTTAGAATTTTTTTTAAAAATATGTCAAAGATAATTAGTTTTAAGAACTACATAAACACTATACACTGTTATTTTTCAAAGTGTATTTGGCATGCAATCTATTCCTGTATGGAATAATATGAGGTTTCCTTTCCAATGTTTTTGCTGTGAACTTACTCATATCAATACACATGGAAGAAAGGACCAAAAAAATCTCTTAATTTTCTCCTGAGGGTCTAGTTCTTCACTACAGATCTTGTAAAATTCTTAATATTTGAATTTAATACCACATAATTGTACAAGTCGTTGATTATTCTCATAATTTGTTATTGTTTTTATGATAAAATTTTAAATTTCTGGTGTGAGCCCTACTGTTTTAATACTTTCAACTTTCAGTGACATAGGCTGTGAACATACTTACGCCCCAAAATATACATTAATAAAGACACTCATATTGTTTTTTGAAGTAACAAACATGATTTCCACTGCAGAATGTAGTTTATTATTTTCTCATACTGACTCTTTCACACCATTAGAAGACATTCTTCCTCTTCCAACTTATGCATAGACATATTTCCAGGTTATACTTTATTAGTTATAGCACTTCCTTTGTTATTTTCTGATTTAAAAGACTCCAATTTATGATATTTCTGAAGAATTGTGAGAGATTTATTCACATTTTTTTCTTCCTTTATTTTACTAATTTCATTATTTAATGATACATTATTTAACCATACAAAATCATGCAAACATACTTCCTAAACAAAAGTAACAATGAATTTTTTAAGACAAAAGCATCTACATGAATGGAAGTTGATATAATTTTTAATGAATCTTTGACAGTATAGAGTGCTTTACACCAAATGCAGTGCAGCCAGGCTTCACACTCATACCTGGGGCAACTTGCAGAGATGACATAACATTTATCATGTGACACTGATAGGAAGCCCACTGATGAATGATTGCCAAGCTTTTCATGTTAATTTGCTTGAACTAATGTAATTATAATTTCTATTATTAATATTTTTACTACTTAAGAAAGTTACTATCTCAGTGTATACCAACCCAAACAGAATTCTTTTCAGAAAGAGTTCCCACACTGATCAGCCAAGTGTAATCCTTGTCTACTTGATTACATGGAACATAAGAAATAAGAGGGTTGTAAAAATATATATTACGAGATTTCATGACATAAATGAATGAATTATAAGAGAAAAATTTATAATCCTAGATCTAAGTGCTAAATAATTTAAAATTTTTATTTGGAACTCAAAATATTTCTCACCAGGTTGCCTAATGCCCCCTTTACATCCTTATTCCTCAAGGTGTAGATGAAGGGGTTGGCTGTAGGAGTCACCACTCCATAGAAAAGGGCCATGAACTTGGGCTGGTCCCTTGTGATGGAAGAAGGGGGCTGGAGGTACATACAAATGGCTGGACCATAAAATAAGAAAACTACAGTGAGATGAGAAGAACATGTCCCAAAGGCCTTTTTCCTTCCTGCAGAAGATTTCATCTTAAGTACAGCATGTCCAATACTAGCATATGAGGCAAGAATTAGACACAGAGGAATAGCTAATAAAAAAATACATACTACAGAAAGTGTGAGCTCATTAACTTTCTTTTCACCACAAGCGGTCTTTATCAGAACTGGAATCTCACACACCAAGTGATCCAGTTTATTGACACCACACAGTGGCAATTGTAGTGTTACAGTGGCCTCTGAGACAGCATAAGTGATTCCACCCAGCCATACAATGGACACTAACAAGATACAGATGTGCTGATTCATGATAAGGTTGTAGTGCAGAGGTCTGCATATGGCCACATAGCGGTCAAAAGACATGATAGCTAAGAGAAGACATTCTGTGCCCCCCATTATGTGGAAGAAATAGAGCTGAACTGCACACCCCATATAGCTGATGGTCTTTTTAGAGCTTCCCAAGTTAAACAGCATCTGAGGCACAATGCTTGTGGTGTAACACATGTCCAAAAAGGAGAGGTTGGTGAGGAAGAAATACATAGGACTCTGGAGTCGGGGGTCTAACTTGGACACCAGAATGATGGCAATGTTTCCTATCATGGCCATGGGGTATGTTATCAGAAGAACAATGAATATAGGAAGCTCTAGCCAAGGACGGTCAGTAAAGCCTAGTAGAATGAACTCTTCAGGGTAGCTTTGATTAATCAGTGCCATTCTCTTCAGTGTGTTTCACCTAGAGTGGGGAAGGTCCCAAGGAAGTTAACATGATGAGGAATGACCAGACATGATGATCAATTGGTTGTGTACTCATAAAGGACAGAATGCAGTAACTTGAAATAAAGAACTTGACACCAGGTTATCTAATTTCCCTTTATTACACCAAAAATTATTGGCAGTTATTGTGAACAATTTCTTCTCCTGTATAATAAAACTGACAATAGTTATCTCCTTGTTTTCTGGTGAGTGACTGTGTTTTGGAAACTCAGAAATAATGATTTTCAAACTTATACTGCCTTAAAAATCAGCTAAATATATTCTTAATGAGAAGTTCATTGCTTCCTATCTTCAGATGTTTGACAAAGTAAATGATGCTGGGGATGAGGTTTTGGTTCAGTGGTAGAGTGCTTGCCTAGCATGTGAGAGGCACAGGGTTCAATTCTCAGCACCACATATAAATAAAGAAAGATCTATTGACAACTAATGTGTACATATATATACATTCTTTTTTTTAAAGTAAATGATGCTTGAGACCAAGTGATTGGATTGGTTATTTTAAGGATCACTGCTGCAAGACATTACAGAAGTGAAAGAATCATAAAAGTATTCAGTAGCAATAGTAGAAAAATGATGAAGAGTATCCTGGAGGTACAAGTATCATCAAGATACAATAGTACAGCCAGGCACAGTGGCATACTCTTATAATCCCAGCAGCTCAGATGCTGAGGCAGGAGGATTGCAAGTTCAAAGCCAGCCTCAGCAAAAGCAAAGACACTGTCTCTAAATGAAATACAAAGTAGGTCTGGGGATGTGACTCAGTGGTTGAGTGCCCTGAAATTCAATCCCTGGTACTTCTCCATCATCCCCACCCCCCAAAACAATGATACTGTAGTCCAGGGCTAGGGATGAGGCTCAGTGGTAGAGCACTTGCCTAGCATGTGCTTGACCCTGGGTGTGAGCTACAGCAACAAGAACAGAAAGTATGGTCTTACCCCAGTTCCATCTATCTATGTCTTCTCTGAGGGGTGTGTGAAGACTTTGGATTTAAACAAATCTATCTTAGGTATTTGAAACTGAGGCAAAACTATAAATTATAAACACTTTTAACATTGATGTTCTCTTTTTAGTATAGTTAACAGTGATCCTATTATTTCATAAATTTGAATAGTTAAACTATAATGACAGAGATTTCTTCATGCTTTGGAATTTGTTTTCACATTTATGTTATTTTGCATAGCTATTTAGTTCAGATTTCAGCCATTTAATATTTTATGCTGAATTTTCCTTAATTTATGTTTTGTAGGAATTTTTCTTTATCAAGTAAGTCTGTTTTCCTTGTTTAACATAAGAATTTGAACAGTTTTCAGTGACCAATTTGCCAAACACATATAACTACATTTTACATGTATAAATACAGTTGTCAAATTTGGGTAACTTCTGTCAGGAGATTTTTAACTTAAGCCAAGAAACATTAAAATTTTCATGAAGTATTTCATTATTTTTCAGCTAAAAGGCACATTGAAAGAATAAAATCTGTAACTTGAATGAAATACTATTTTGAGAAAGAAAAAATAATCATTTTTACTAGTGAAGGATTTACATTTATGAAAACTATAATATTTTGTAGGATAAGGAATATCCAGTTGTGAGATTAAGATAACATCCCATTGAAAAACTTTTGAGTTACTATTCTAGCCAATTAATAGTTTCATGGTACCTGATTATATTCCTAGAATTATAAATGACAGTTTTTACATTCTCCATTTCATTGAATTTCAAGGCCACCTGTAGGGGTGCCTCACAAAGTCACTCAAAGCTAATACATTAACATTGCTCTTTGACTATATGTGATCTATATGTATGTAATAAAAATAACAATAATAATTTTAAAATTTATGTAATAATTAAAATTTCAACAAATTATTAATGAGCCCTGTGTGCCAAACCCACCAATAAGATTTTTCCATGCATAAATAATTTAATAACTCACCAAACACTATTGACCTAGGGCAGTTTATATCCATGTTCTGTGATATTGTTATTCTTTTATTTTCGTAGTCTACTTATAACTAGAGATAATCTAAAGATCAAAAAAGTTATCAATGTCTAAATAAGGTAATGAAATATTAAACCAAAATTCCAAATAAAATATCCTTACTAAGGATGTCATCTTAATGAGTATTCCGATCCATGTTTTCACCTGGAATTTATACAAGATGTAAATGAGCACAGCAAATTTAGGACCATATTTTGATCTAAATTATTTTTCAAGGGAAATTCTATGTGGTAGATGAGATATAAAGTAAAAGCATGGTATTAATTGATTTGATTGCAAAATAAATATTCGAAAAATTCTACTCTACCCACAATGAGTAATTGCATGAGACACCTACTATCTACTTATTTAAATCTATTATATTCACATTTCATAGTTTTCTACCATGGATCACACCATCAATTTTTTAAAAGAATAATTTTAGATTTTATCAACTGTGACTTATTTCACAATTAATTTTATCAAATTCTAATAATAATATTTACTCTAGTATGTTTTTAGCAACTTTGTTAAATTTCTATTATAGGACATTTTTTTCATATTATTAACTTTATTAAGTGTGATTTTCTTTGCAAGCAGCGATTACCCAAGAGCCTTTTTATTTCTCTGGGTATTTCCCTAGAGATCAATGTGATTGACTCTTACAGTATATTGAAGCTTTATAATTTTATGTGTACATTTCTCTTGTTTTTAATGTTATTCTCATGATATTTCATTACTTTTACCTATTAGATGCCTTGACTCTTGGATCTTCTACTTCCGGTGATTTTTCTATCCATATTTCATTACCCAGGGCTCTGTATCTCCATGAATATTCAAAATCACATTAATAAGTTGCCAGGCTGTGTTTGTGTCTTTGTATCTCTGTTCACATTTTCATTCTAGCATATCTTTGTTTTCTATTTTTTATTGATTTTTCTAGCATATCTTATCCACAATTCACTTCATCGAACACACAGCATTGTATTTGTAATTATAAAATTTTTAGCTCTATAGGTAGTAAAAGATCATTAAAAAAATTAAAACCATGTTATCTGAGAGCAGGGCATTTGTATGAAATGTACAGACAGTCCATCAAATTCTGACAATATATGTAGAAATTTTACACAACTGATTAAAGTCTTCATACTTCATTCATTTAATATCTGTTTATTGAGGTTTAAATGCTGTTAAGTTTGATCTAAGAGAGAGATTAAGGCAGAGATTATTTACAAAGAAAATTTTAATTGTTCCTAGAGGCACTGAAGTAGGTGTTTCCAAACTTTAAAAAGGCTCTCTGAAATATAATTCACTCTGCCTCTCATGTGTATACTAGGCACTATGGCCTACCTATACACAGTCCAAACATCCCTAAAAGGCAATGGCTTTTAAAAAACAAGTATCTTTTTACTCACCTTATTTTGAAAACTGTCTTTCTCAAAAAAAAAAAAAAAAAAAAAAAGAATCTTCAAGAAGTGCACTTGAATGTTTTTCAAGCTTTCAGGAAAAGATGGAGAAACTGTAGTACACAGATACATAACAATTAGGTTCAGAACATATATTTTCACCTAAGAGAGTGTATCAAAGAGAAAATAACCTAGGTTAAGAAGGTATCAGTATAAAATAATCAACCATGCATTGTGGGAGGGTATTTATATGCTATTCCCAGACCCTCTTGGGCATTGTTAGCCACAGGCTAGCCATGTATCCTCCTCTCAGGTGAATTAGGGGAGAAAGTGCCTTGGGACAGAACTCTTTATGGAAATGCTTCTCGGGAACAATGAATTTCTTACTGAACTGAGTTTGAGAGCAACTTTCTTCTCTTGCTAGATATTTTGAAATAAACTAATTCAGTTTTCAACATACACCAGTTTAAGATAGTATACAATTTGAAATGAGCTTGTTTGAATAAATAATCCCGAGGAATTTAAATTATAATTTCTTGAATATGTGACTAAGTATATCTCATAAGATTCAATTTTTTAGTCACAACAATGAAGGAAAATAAAAATAAGTTGGATAGAGAAGAAATAAAATATATTTTACTTTAAAAAGGAATAGAGTAATAATAAAATAATTCTATATATTTTATAAGAAAAATGAAATTATATTCTCTCTCTACATATACCCATGCACACACATGCACATACACACTACATAATATTAGATATGTAGATAGTAAGATTTTAAATACCATACTTTATCACAAGTGCAATATTCCCAAAATAAATTTAAATACATTGAATAACAATTATGAATGAAAAGGTTTCCAATTTGACAAGTTATTCCTATAATCCATAATCTTTCTCTTTTCTCTAAAGATAACTAGTATCACGAATATGTATCTTTCCTCATTATACAGGCAAAAATTTTAAGTCTACTCCCCTTCTTGACCCAGATCTACTCCCTATCCCACGATATATATTTCTACTATGTGCTGTGCTTCTAGAAGGTGAATAAAGAAAAATCCTTTTCTGGGTTCTGGTTCATCTAGTTGATGAGAATAGTCAACTGAGGATTGCACTGACAACACAGCTCATATGGGACATGTTCCCCCAATTTAGAACACATGTGGCTGCTGCTCACAACTCTCAGAGGTGACCATATACATAAAAGATTCTCTCTATTCGGTCTCCTATACAACTTCCCTTTGTTATTTCATGCCTTGGGTTGGTAACAGGATTTTCAGTATTGCTAACTTCAGGTGGTTCACATAGAATAACTCATAGAAATCCCTTGTTGGCTTTTTTTAAATCCTTTGCTAAATTTTGCTCTGTGTCCCAAATGGAGTGTGACATGTATTTTTTACTGCAAACATTGCCAACATAACTCTCCATTACAAACAGACCAAAGTCATTTTCCATTTCAAGACTTTGGAATTAGCTTCTCTCCTCCCTAAAATGCTCTTCTTATTTTATCATAGCTGGTTCCTGGTTGCCTTTCAGGTTTGAGCTTAATTGTC